GTAACCATAGTGCTCTTCCTTCATCGACCTGGGTTTCCTTCCCTCTGTCTTGCTCTGTGTTTGGGAAGCACTGGGAGTCTGGTGGGAGAAGGGGAGGCACTGGAGGGAGCCTCTCTACAAAAGCTGTTTGTAGGAGTGGAGTGACGCATGAGCTCCGGGCTCTGTCAGAGCAGGTGCCTGGTTTGAATAGTGAATCTCCCTCACAAATCGCAGACAAGCGGAAGAGGGATGTGACCCAAATCTCTGCTCTGTTCTGGATGCTTTGAGAGGAGCTTTGCCAGTCCTGGGCTGAGCTGGGGGGGGGTATGAATGAGATGCAGGACAGCTTTTGGTAGCAACTCTTCACCTGGAGCCCTCGAACAAGACCTGTCCCAAGCTGTGCCATATGCAGCCCTCGGGCTTCCCCTGGGAAGGGGCCCCTCTTGCTGCTCCCAGGTGATGTCCAAAGAATTTTGGACAAATGGCTGGAGGGTGACACAGTGTGACACTGCAGGTGAGGGGCCCACCAAGCAGTGTGCTGGTCACTGAGGAGCACAGCACTTGGCAGCTCAAGTGGACTCTTTTCCCTTTCCCTTCTGAAATGGTTCATTTGTGACCCTGGCAGGAACTCTCTCTTCAGGCTGTGTTTTCAGAGCTGTTCGTCACTTTTTGATGTGATGAGGTGTTGTTTTTGTAGCCTGTTCCTTTGGCTGATCTTTGCCTGTGATGTTCCAGGTGATTTTGCATAGGGAACAGTGACATGAATTGGAGGCTGTGGCTGTGGATTTCTTGGAGCAGTGTTTCTCACTGCTGGGATACAGGCTTGGGAACAAGTGGGGGAGAAGCTGATGTGAGGAGGATGCTCGCAGTGCTTCTGGTTTTTAATTTGCTCTAATAGTCAGGCCTATTTTAAGAGAGTCTCCCCAGCTGCGAGGCAGATAATGCACTGTGCCATCTAATCCTGCTGTGGAATAAAGCCTGCCATTCCTAGATTGCCCGTCAGGCTCTGCTTGTTTATCCCACTCTAGAGTGCAGTGAGATACACATCTCAGGGATGCTTGGCTTCATCCTCTCTAGCAGCTTGTTTAGGCAGGAACCTGCAGAGAGGGAGCACTGGGTCTGCTGCAGCACAGGCTGGCACAACCAGTCCCCTGCCTCACCTGGAACCTGGGTCTGTGCTGAGCTCTCGCACGCTGACACATTTGGCAGCTCTTCTGGTGGAGCTGAGAGCTGAAAGCAGCCCAGCTTACGTGCATGGAGCTGCCTCTCCACAGTGTGGGACTTGGCAGGGAGGGAAGCACATGGGACTGTCATGTCCTTTCCCTGGGAAGGCTGCTTGTGCCAGTGCTGGGGAATGTGCTGGAAGCAGGTGACTCATGCCCAGGGGCCTGTAGGCACCTGGTGGAATGTAATAAATAACAGTGTGGGGCAGTGATTCAACGTGAGCTCTGGCTCCCCACCCAGCAGCACAATGCCTGCCCCTCTGCTCTCCTCCAGCTGCCGGTGCTCTGCCTTCCCAGGAAGCCCTGTCTGCCTTTGATGCCTCCACTGAGGCTGCTCTCAGGCAGCCTGTAAATCCTGATGCTCCCTTGTTTAAGGCCTGAAGGCAAAACCTGCTCTGACTGTGGCTTGACCAAATTCTGTGCTGATAATCACTGCAGAGCTCTTAGGTTGTGTTTTGTGTCTGTGGTGAAGGTTCTGCAGAGCTGGTCTGTGCAGTACCCTGCACTGTGCCTGGGTGCCTGCAGAAGGTAAGAGATGAGTGAATTCGCAAAGATCATCTTGTGCTGTAACATGTTCCTTGTTGAGAGGCAAAGCCGTGTCTTCTCTGCATTAACCTGAGCGGGTCCCTCCCCTGGTGATCCTGGTGGCCTGTCTGTGACTGAAGACTGAAAGTAAATAAAAACTGAAAGGGCTTTCCATGGGAAGGAAAAGCTGTTTCAGCTAGGATATGCTGCTTGTACAACCTGGAGCTAAAGGAGCAGGAAATGACTTAACCTGTGGGTGAGAAGGCATCTGTGGACTTGTCAGAATAGAGAGATTCTGTTTTGGGTTCTAGTTGGGGCAATTCCCAAATGTGACAAAAAGGGGAGGGAAATAGAACTTTTAAGCCAGGGTTCAATAAGTAAATGAAAAGGGGATTTCAGAGTATCCCTGATGCCACAGACTGGCCTGGGTGACCTGGGTGGTTCCTTCCTGTCTTTGCTCTGAGCTGAAGGGGACATTCTTAGCCCCAGCTGCCCCAAAGGCTGCTCTGAACACCTGGCCTTGTGCTAAAGCTGTGCAAACTCTGCCTCTGGCCTGCCTAGTCCACTGTGTGCCTGCAGTGCAGTCTGAGGTGGGGAAAACCTTCCCCTCTATTTTTCCTTGGCTTTGGCAGGGATGGGGACCACAGATCACGTCATAGTGCTGGCTTCCACCAACCGTGCCGATGTCCTGGACAACGCTCTGATGAGACCTGGGAGGCTGGACAGGCACATCTTCATTGACCTCCCAACACTCCAGGTATGTTCCACCCTGCCCTGTCCTTCCTGGAACGCTGATGACTGAGGTGTCCCGGTCCTTGCTGGTGACTCACAGGCCTGGCAAAGGCTGAGCTTGGAGGAGATGGAGATGTTGAGCTTCTCTTTGTCTTTATTCTTGTTTCTGTGCTCTAAGTCAAGGGTTTGTCATGCTAATAGAGTTGCCTGTTTCTCTGAAGTGACAGTTCACTGGTTTGGAGCATCTCTGCTCTGGTAGAGCTTGGCTTTGAATTCTTCTGTGATGTTCCCTTTGCCATGCAGATGCAGAACTGTGTTTGTGTCTTCTCTCCAGGAAATTGGGAAGCACCTAATTGGCAATTGGCTGTTGTGAGAGTTTAACTTGTCATGTGCCTTGAGCACCATTTGTTCTGTAGGTTTATGGCCCCTCCCTATCCTTGTAAGGCTCCTCATTTTCCTTTAGGCAGCCTGTTAAGTGACTTTCTCCTTCTGAATGCTTTTTAAATCCATTTACTAGGAGTTTTCCATGTCCGCTGTGTTGACATTTGTAGCAGAGTTCTGGGAATGGACTCAGCTGCAGTGAGGATCTGTGTGCTCTGCCAGCACAGGCTCTTCCTCTCCCATCTGTGCTTCACTGTCCTCTGCAGAGCTTTCAGTGAAAATACCTTAAATGCCTGATAGAGTCTGGCCCCGGAAGCCTGAACTGTGCAGCTGCCCTGAAGGAGGAAGGGGAAAAACCCTGGCAACTGAGCCCATTGTTTGAGTCAGGATCTCCTGGACCAGCTGAATGAGTCACTTGGTGGCTGCTCGCCAGGCATCTCACCCCCACCTCCATCTGGGAAATGGGCGCAGGCTGAGGAGCTGTGCATGGGGTGTGCAGTTTGTGGTTTGTACAGGAGCAGGTCGAGGCAGTCAGAGCTCCTTCCTGCAAGAGCTTTTATGGTGAGGGAAAAGTTGAGACAGATCAGAGTGAAAGTGTAGACAGGAGAGTGGCCCTGAGAGAGAAAGCGGTGACTCAGGCACAGCCTCCTGCATCTGCTGAGAATTTGAGAGCTGGGTGTTTATCAGGGCTTCTGGTGCACTGGAAGCTGCACGGACAGCCCTGCCCTCTGCTGGCACTGCCGCCGTCCCCCTGCCAGAGCCCTGCTCCCTGCCATGGACAGCGTGTTGGAAGTTGCTGTGCTGTGGCCCCCTGGCTGGGCTCAGATATTGTGTGTTCTTTACAGGAGAGGAAAGAGATCTTTGAGCATCACCTGAAGGGCCTCAAGCTGATCCAGGATGGCAGTTTCTACTCGCAGCACCTGGCTGAGCTCACCCCAGGTTTCAGCGGTACGGCCTGTCCTCAGGAGTACAGCTCCTGCTCCAGCTCTGCAGCTCAGGCTGCAGCTCCTGCAGGGTGTGGGTTTAACAGGGTGTTTTGGTCAAAAAGGGCTTTTTTCTCCATTTCTGTGGAAATACTGGGAACCTGACCAGCTCCCTTCTGAGCTCTGATGAGCAGTTGTTCATGACTATTTTCAGTCTTCTGAAATTTCTTGGACTAGCAGGGGTGTGGGGTGTAGGGAAAATGTGCTTTTATAATGCCCAGGTTCCTAATTCCTAAGGGGAGGACCCTCATGCTCCAGTCCAAGCTGTTGTTGAGGATGAGGTGTTGCACTTCAAGGGAGAAGGCTGTTAAGTTAATGGAACTGTAGAATATGCTGAGTTGGAAGGGACCCATCAGGACCACTGAGTCCAACTCCTGGCCGTGCACAGGACACCCCAAAATCCCACCCGGTCCCTGAGAGCATTGTCCAAACACTCCTTGAATTCAGGCTTGGGGCTGTGACCACTACCCTGGGGAACTTTTTCAGTGCCTTGACCACCCTTTGGGTGAAAACCTTTTCCTGAAATCCAACCTTACCCTCCCCTGACTTGGCTTCATGCTTTTAAATTGATTTATGGTACCAGGAAAGTGATGGGAGGAATGAGTGGGAACTATTTTGCTGGTCAGAGTAGAAATTGGACAGCTCTCCCTGGCTCCTGCCTCGAGCCTTCTTCCAGGGTGTGTCCCTGGGAGCTTGAAACAGTGCTGAGCAAGAGGCTCCAGAGTTCCTGTTTATGTGGAGTTCCTGGAATATCCTTCCTGGGTTTTCCCTCTCATAGGCCCCAGCACTCTGTCTCTCTGTGACTTCTCTGAGCAGCCCCCCACCACCAAACCCACCCACACAAACTCAGAACAGATGTTCCTTCTCTTGGCTCCAAGGTTGAGCAGAGCAGCAGCCTGTGCCAGCCCACTGCCCACACCATCCCTGTCCCTGGGAGCCAGCCTTGGCCTCAGCCTGCTCCTGGATTGCTGAGCTCTGTGTGGTATCAGCATTCCTTGCCAAGGCAGTTGTATTGTTCAAATCCAACATAAACACCATGGACTAGGCTCTCTGTTCCCAAGGAACAAAAAGCACAGGCTGTTTGGCTTCCTTAGGTCTTTCTCCAGATTTGTTCTTGCCCATTCTGTCCTCTGAATTCTCTGTCACACACAAATCCCATGTAATTTCTGTAAACTCATGTCTGCAGGAGCTGACATAGCGAATATCTGTAATGAAGCTGCTCTTCACGCTGCCAGGGAAGGGCACAAATCCATCGACACCTCCAACTTCGAGTATGCTGTGGAGAGAGTCATTGCAGGTGAGAGATCCAGCCCTTTCCTAGAATCATGGAATGGTTTGGGTGGGAAGGGACCTTAGAGATCATTTCGTTCCACCCCTTGCCATGAGCAGAGACACCTTCCACTAGCCCAGGTGTCTCCAAGCCCCATCCAACCTGGCCTTGGACACTTCCAGGGATGGGGCAGCCACAGCTTCTCTGGGCAACCTGTGCCAGTGCAGCAGCATTTCTGTTGTTACCTCTGGAGTCTGTTCCACTTGAGAGAAGGCTCAGGTGAGGGGGTTACATTCCAGAAAGACAGATGGGTCCTAACTGTGGTCTGACCTGAAAGTCTTCAATGCCAGTCACAGAAAGTTCTCTGAAGAAGACCCCAAATGGATCCATCTTCCTGATCCTGTGGGAGCCTCAACCCATAGCTTAGGGAAAATGACCAGTGACAAAATAATAAAGAGGGGAATTCAAATCTGTGTGGCTTTTTCATTTTAAAAGCTTGAGGATTTTTGTGGGTTAATTTTTTTAAAAAGAATAAAAGTGGCAGTATGTCTGGGCTTCTCTTGGTTTTCTGGACACCTGCTACATAAACATGAATAGCAAATAGGCTTTGCATCCTCAACAGCAAGAAATTAGAGATTTTTCTTTCTGGCCTCCAAGCCCAGGCTTTGATGAATTGGCAGAATAAACGGCAAGACAGTGGAGCACTGTTCTCCCTCTGAGAACATCCTGTGGCCTTTCTCTGCCACTTGTGCCCTTGCCAGGAGAGGAACCTCTGGAGATTTCCCTGTAGCAGTGTATTGTAAGGAAGGGAAAAGAGTTCCCAGAACTCTTGACTTCACCTGAGGGATTTGAATGTGGTGGGTTTCAGGCTGAACTGCCCTGGAGCCAGGCTGTGGTTTTCATAAGCAGACACTGAACTGCTTCCAGGCTGCAGTGTCATTCCCAGGGGAGCTGGGCACACAGACTGCCATTCTGTGCTTTTCTAGTGGAGCATGTGGAACAGGATGTTTGTGCTGGGTCATTTATTTCCTGATCCTGGAATTGAGGCCTGAGCGTTTGCTTTATCAGAAAATGCCTAAAGAATTCCTAGTTTTTTCAGAAATTCCTGAAGTTTCACCTGTCTCTGAAAAACAAAACCCTTGGAGTGCTTTGGGTAAAAACAGGAATCCCAGGCTGTACTCAGCAAGGTGTGGACAGGGAGTGGACGGTGAGACAACTGGAGTCGTAACACAGAAATTCTCATCAAGCCACAGCGAAGGTCATAGAATCACAGAATGGTTTGGGTTGGAAGGGACCTTAAAGTTCATTTCATTCCACCCCCTGCCGTGGGCAGAGACACCTTCAACTAGACCAGACTGCTCCAAGCCCCATCCAACCTGGCCCTGAACGCTTCCAGGGGTGGGGCAGCCACAGCTTCACTGGGCGACCTGTGCCAGGGCCTTACCACCCATTTTTCCCAAATATCCCATCTAAAACTCCTCTCATTGAGTTGGAAACCATTGCCCCTTGTCCTGACACCACTTTCTTTTGTAAAGATGTGCTTTACTTTCCCATCTGCAGGAGTGAAAGCATCAGACTTGTAGGGATTCACTTGGCTTTTCTTCCTGAATTCCAGCCTTCCCTTAGTTCCCCACACTTGGAAGATAAAGCAAAAAGCAAGGAAAGCCAGAGGGGATGGCAGCAGAAGGGATCCCTGGGATTCATGTGGAGGGGCATTGCAGGACATGGGCTTTGGCGGTTTTGAGCTGCCTGGCCTCACTCAGACTCTGGGGTGTGTAAGAGGCCGCAGAGTCTTTTTGTTGCTTAATCAGATTCTCTCATATTACTAGGACTGGCTGTTTTTTGTAGACTGAGTCTAAAAGACCCCAAACAACCCCCCAGGCTCCTCTATTAAGTGTACCCTTGCCATGTTGTAGGAATGCTGCTGGGTTTCACAATCTAGAGGGCATTTCAGTTCCTATAAAAGCTTTTCTTGAAAGAAAGAAAGAAGATATTACTGTGCTTTCCATTAGGAGCTTCTGGTTTTAATAACAGTGGGGTGGAATCAAAAGGGAACTTTGTAAGTCCGGAGGCCCTGTCAGCCTTAAAGCTTTGTGTTGCTGTAAGGGAGGAGCAAGAACTTCTCTCTGTGGTAGTTCCCATTGTGTTTTTAGTTTGGGAACAGAAAGCAGTTAGTCAGGTCTCCTGGGAGTGAGGGAAGGAACCTGCGGAGCACACAGAGGCTTTTAGGGCTTTGCATTAGGGGATGGAGCCTATTTTCTTGGAGAGGTTTGTGTAAGGCCAGCAGAGATGCACCAGAGTTGCTTTGTCTCATAAATGTGATAAGTACAGGCTTTCAGGGAACTTCCCTTACTGGAGGTGACTTTATGTAGGAAAAGCAATAATCTTTGTCGGCACACTGTGTGCTGTTGTGAAGAACACGGTCTCTCCCAGTCCCTCCCTCAGTGGGCTGATGTGGGAATGCTTCCAGAATTTTTTTAAGTGTGTGTATGTGTATATATATATATTTAGAGAGAGTATAGATGCATCTTTGTGTGGAAAGAGCCATACAGGGCCATGCTCACATGCTGCTAAAGGCAAGGTAGGGACTGACTGCTGCAAATCAAGGCAGTAGCAATTAATCTGCTGTTCCATCGTGCCTCACAGGGCACAGCAGCTTCCAGGGTCCCTGAGCAGTAATTTTACAAGATCTGCCACAGTAATTTTGCTGTTTCCTTGTTTAATAAAGCCCTTGACTTTGTTTAAAAATTCATGTTAATAGAATGTTGTTTTCCAAGACATGAAGCAAGCTTTGTACAATACTGCTCGTGACCGCTTGCCCTCCCCTCTGCTGCTCCGGGCTCTGTGTGGGGACACTGGCCTGGAAGTCCTGGGATCTTTCTGCATCCAACATTCTGAACTGTATGTTCTATACAGTGCCTGACACACTGTGTGTTCTGTACTTATTTTTCCTACGTGCCAGAAGTTCTACTTCCATTCACCTTTCTTTTTTTAATCCTTTTTGGACTTGCTCTGCCGACTTGGAAAATAGACACTTTCAAAAATCACCTTTCTGGAGGAAGGATTAAATGTGAGATATGGCTTCATTTGCTAGTTCTCAGGAGCCTGGGAATAAGCTCTTACAGAGCATGCCATGTGTAATCAGAGACATTTCCAGGCTCTGGGGAAGGATTTCTGTATCTACTCTTGGTCTTTTGCTGATTTGAACACTCTTAATGCACAGTTTTCTCAACTGGGACTTCATATATATAATGCAACATTTCTCTTATATTCTGCCTAAGGGACTGAAGGCAGCAAAATCAGTGTGAGACTCATTCTGGGTTTTGTTATTGGGGTTTTTTTGTGTTGTTTTGGGTTTTTTCCAAGAAAAAGAGTAAGCTGCCTCGTTGCAGATCTGTCCTTGGGAACAGGACCGAGCTTCGCGTTCTTAAGCTGTGATCGAATCAAATGTCAAATCATTTATCTAATTATTAAATCTGTTGTAAGGAGGAGAAGGGGGAAAAATTTCTGCCAGTGTTTTCAAGCAATTCCAAGCATGGATTGCTTTCCACTTCCAAGCTTGTAATTAAAGGGGGTTTGCTGCCTCTCCCTTGCCAAGTTCAGCACAAATTGTTCAGCCACAGGCTGTGTGAGCTTGTGCACTGAACTGGACCAGGTTATGCCCTGCTGGTTACACCTGTTTCTGATACCTTATCAAATCCTGGTCTGTGTCCTACAGGCACTGCCAAAAGAAGTAAGATCTTGTCACCAGAAGAGAGGAAGGTTGTGGCATTCCATGAATCTGGTCACGCGCTGGTTGGGTGGCTGCTGGAGCACACCGAGGCCGTCATGAAGGTACTTCCACTGCCAGGAGGGGTGTGATGAACTGGTCACTGGGACAGAAGGGAGTCCTGAGGGCTTCCACTGCCCCAGATTACTTTGTGGTACTTGTGTTTAATTCTGCTGTGTTACCCCAACAGTGATAGTGCAGCAAAATAAAAGGCAAATAGAGAATCACAGAATTAACTAATCCAGCACTGCCAAGCCCACCGTTAAACCAGGAGAGCTTCAGGCTGCATATTAGGAATAATTTCTTCACTGGAAGAGTGGTTAAGCATTGGAACGGGCTCCCCAGGGAAGTGTTGGAGTCACCATCCCTGGAAGTGTTCAAAAACAATTGGGCGTGGCACTTCACACTGTGGTTTAGTGGGCTGGTGGGATTCAGTTAAAGGTTGGAATTGAGGATCTTGGAGGACTTTTCCAACCTTAATGATTCTGTGATTCTATAAACCATGTCCCTAGATTTTGCTGTGGAGAAATCCAGTATTAGGCTCCACTGATGATAGTGCTGGTGCAAAGCTGATTAACCAGCTATAGGAGAAGCTTTGCAATTAAAAATTAGAAGCAACTGTCTCCTGGTGCTGCTGCTCAGTCATGCACTTCCAGGCTGCTCCCTATGTGATCCCTCACCCAGCACGTTTCAGCCAGCAAAGCTCCCATTGCAGGAATTGCTCTGGCACTGCTGGGGAGCTATGTTTTTCAGACTGGGAGGTTCTCTGCCTGAAGCCCTTCTCTGCAGGGAAAGGCCTCTTTGGCACCCCGGGATGTGATCCATGCACATCTCTTCCAAAAGCTGGGATGGGGTTGGAGAGTGGAATGACAAGGGTGACAGTTCCTTGGCTGACTACCAGCAGCACATTCACTCTGAATGACCCATTGTGTAAGCAGAACTGGTGTTATATACTCTCGCTTAATGGGTGGGGGAAATGGTTGTTATTTTTCTGAAGACTTTCTTTCTGCAGGTAGTCTCAGGGATTCTGGAGCAGAATCAATGAACTCTGTTTGGCTTATATGCTCCAAAGCAACTCCTAAATCTCAGGATTTCTCTGGCTTGCTCTTAAGGATAATTTCCTTTGCATTTCTTGAGCAGAAAGTGTGTGCAGGCAGAGCTTTCTGTGCAGGAATCGGGACACACTGTGGTCCTTGGCCGTGTCCCTGTAGGCCAGCCTGTCCATAGCTATGGACAAACTTCCCTGGGAGTGTAGGGGCCCTCCCTGTGCTGTTGCAGTGGGGAGCTGTGTTGTTCTGTGAGCTGAGGGAGCTGCTCTGTGTCGCAGGTGTCCATAGCCCCTCGGACAAATGCGGCGCTGGGGTTCGCGCAGATCCTGCCCAGGGAGCAGTACCTGTTCACCAAGGAGCAGCTGATGGAGAGGATGTGTATGGCACTGGGGGGCAGAGTGGCTGAGGCCATCACCTTTAACAAGGTCACCACAGGTGAGGAACCAGAGCCTGGCCAGGACAGGTGGAGGTCCAGGGTGCTCTGAGCACAGGACGGAGGTTTCCTGTGCTGGGAAGAAGGTGTATTTTGGTCCTTGGCAAACGTTGTGTGTGTGTCTGTCCTGCTCAGGAGCACAGGATGACCTGAAGAAGGTGACCAAGATCGCCTACTCCATGGTGAAGCAGTATGGGATGGTGCCCAGCATCGGGCAGCTCTCCTTCCCAGACCTGGAGAGTGCCCCTGGGATTGGCCGACGCCCCTTCAGCCAGGGCCTCCAGCAAATGATGGACCATGTAAGGCTACCCCGGGTTGAATGGTTCTTTTTGGTTTTTGCTTTCTGCAGTTCAGTGAAACAATGCAAGTGATTTACACCCAAACAATTTGCATTCTGCTGTAGGTTACTGAGTAGTGGATTTCAACAGGTGAGCACTTACTTGATGTGTGGCTGTGTGAGGGCTTTGCCTTGAGGCCTTAGGAACAGGCAGAATCCCACCCGGATGTGAGTTCAGCCCAGTAACTTGTGCTATGCAGTGCTTAGACGGCAAGAAATCTGTGTGACAGACTCAGCTGCACAGTGTAAATGTCTGCAGTTCCTACATCAGATCTAACAAAAATGACAGTTGGACTGACTGCAAATCAGCCTGTTTTGACAGGAAATTGGGCCTCAATGCTGAGGAAAAAAACATTGTTTTTGTTGAAAAATCAAAAAGCTGGAAACAAAAAAGTTCTTGTTTGAGGCACTGTGCTTGTGCTTCCCTGGGATTTGTGCTGAGCTGCACCTTTAGCTCCTGGGCAGCCTTAATCTCCATTTCCCATCAGCTACGACTGCCCTGAAGAGCTGTGCTAGGGCAGGAGTTCACTGCCCCTTATCACCAGCATTCCTTGGGCCTTTTTCCAGTTTATCCATAGTTTTTGTGGATGGGAACCATGTTCTGGCTCAGTTTGCAAATTCCATCCCTCAGAGCTCTCCTTGTTTAGCCACACGTTGCGTTTGTTGCCACCTACACCCCAAATCTCTCTTCTTGTTTCTTCCAGGAAGCCAAAGTCCTAGTGGCTCAGGCTTACAGGCGGACAGAAAAGCTCTTACTGGACAATAGGGACAAGCTGCAAACAGTGAGTTGGATTGTGTGGGATTTTGTGTGTTGTTTTGGGTTTTTTCTATTGGTGGTTTTTGCTTTGCTGCTTTCTGTACTCTGTAGCTCAGCTGTTGCAATGTCTCTCTCCTAGAAAGTCTCGTAGTGGGAGTGTTGGGAACAAGTGACTGTTTACTGTGGATCCCCCGGATTCAGAGCAGGCACGGGGAGGAATGTGTGCCTTTCCCAGCACTGAGTAGCTGCCTCCTCACACCAGCTGGTGTTTGCAGGGTAGAGGAGGGGGAGTGCTTCATGCAAGTGATCAAAGCTGGAATTTATGTCCCTCACCTGCACTTCTCTGCTTGCCTCTTGGCAGTGGAATTTCCTGGAGAGCAGACCGTGACTGATTTTGGGAAGCCAAGCCAGCAATCAGGTGGACACTTTCTGACTTTGGTGAAGGAATGTGGGACCTGTCACCTTGGCTGATTTGGGGCTGGTTCCTGCTTTCTGGTGGCTCCAGGCAGTTTTCACCTCCCTGACACTTGATAAAACCTCCTTGGTACATCCTCCTTGACCCTGATACACCAAGGAATCCTCATTGCAAAAGTAGAGTTTTGCTTCCTCCCCTTTGTGATCCTGACAGTCCCTAACCAATCTCCCACCCTGGCACATCCCCAGGAGCTGTGTGCCCATTGGTTTGGGCTGAGCCACACTAGAGTCACAGCATCCTGTGTATCTCCTTAACCTCCCTACAGAAATCCAGTCCATGATATCCAAAATGACCAGGAATCAACTTAGTGTTGCATACTTTGCAAATCAAGCAATTATTTTCCTTAAATCTTCTTTTTAAACAAACGAGAATAACAAAACAACCCCTTCAGCTCCACAGTGTCGGGCCTCTGGTGATACAGAGACAGCTCGGTCCCCAGGCCAGTGCCCTGGCAGCTCTGGAGCAGGGATCCTCAGGGATGTCTCTGCAGGCTCCTCTGTCCTGCTGCTACCATCTAACAGGAGCCAGATGTTTGCTGGAGGCTCAGCTCAGAAAAACTTTAAAGTGGAGCCAAAGTATCTCCAGAGTCAATGTTTCAGTTGCCAGCGCCTCGTGTCTGGTCAGCAGGATTGAGCAGTTCCACGCTGGACAAGCCACCTGCTGCTCCAGAGGGGTGGTGCTGCTGCCAGAGGGGCTGTAGAATTCCACTTCTTTGGAGAGGAACTCATGCTGACCCCCAGCCCGTGGCTGCAGGAACAGGCAGCTCTTTGTTAGCACTGTGTGTGCAGGGAGGGCCGTGGGCCTGCCCGAGGTCTCACTGCTGCTGCTTTGGCTCCTGGGCAGGGCCACAGGTGCAGTGACAGTGGCAGGAGGGACACTTCTCTCATTGTTCTTGGAGCTCTCATTCCCGTTTCCAAGAGTTGCTTTGTTGCCTGCAGTCACGCTGTGCGTTCCTGGCCAAACACGCTCTTGGGAACAGTGCCGGAGCCTGGAGAACTTTGTCCTGGGTCCAGTGGCTTTGGGGTCACCCCATCTCGGGGGGGACAGCTGGAGTCTGCTCCTGACTCCTGAAAGTCAGAGAGTTTCACCTTATTTGTTAAAAATAAAGCCTCTAAGTTTTCAAGTTCTGTCATTTATCACATATCCTAACCCTATCAGTTCTGTCTCAGCAGAGAACTGATGAGAAAGCTGTCTGAAAATCTCCAATTCTGAAGAAATAATCTACTGTTTTTAAAATTACATTGTTCCCTCTGCAATGCAGAACCACGTGGATCCTAGCAGAGAACTAGGAGTCACTGGATATGCTACTGACCCAAGGAAATGTGCTTTCATAAAACCAATCTGCACCCCGTGCTCTGGGCAGGTGTTGGGATCTGAGTTGAGCTGGCAGAGTTCAGACCAGCTCAGACGGGCAGTTTGGAGCCCCTGTTCCTCACAGTGCCTCATTTCTCCTTTCCAGCTGTCCAGTGCCCTCCTGGAGAAGGAAGTGATCAACTATGATGACATTGAGGCCCTGATCGGTCCCCCTCCCCACGGTCCCAAGAAGATGATCGCCCCGCAGAGCTGGCTGCAGGCAGAGAGGGACAAACAGGACACCAGGGAGGAGGAGACACCCCCCCAGCCACCACACCCCGAGGAGGAGGAGGAACCACGCCTGAGACCAGTGTGAAGCCCACTCCTGTGTGGAATGTGAGGCTTCTTTGGAACACAGACCCTTTCCCTTCTCAGCTCCAGAGTTAAAGATGCTGACCAGGGAATTGCTGTGTTGCTGTTACCCCAAAATTAAGGAATGGCTACGTTCGCTCCTTGCTTTATCCTGCAGGAATGAGAACTCCTCAGGAGTTCAGAATTGATTCCCAGCAGGGTGGTGGTGATTAGGAGTTGGGTAAGTCTGATCTGCTGTGAAGGTTTGTGGTACACAGGAGCAGGGTACATGTGCTTAGGGATGAAAGATCCCATGTAAGCCAGCTCTGGCTGTGCTCTGTGCCATGGCAGGAGGGCAGGGGTGTGCCCTGGGTGCCAGCCTGGGGAAACTGAGCTGAGCTGAGCAGCTCTTGCATAACCTTTGAGCATCTTTGCTGTGAACACAACACAGTAACAGCCTTGGCTGGAATAAACTGCCCACAACGTGCCTCTGTGTGTGTAGAATGTGTCAGGCTGGGGGGATGTTCTGGCACATGTGAAGCTCATTAGAGCTGTGGAGTTGTACAGAACAAGGGCCTCCTTCTCCCTGTTCAATAATTTATATCCAGTTTTTATAGCAAGTGTTTCCTAAGCAGAGATTAAGGAAAATCTGTGTGCAGAGCTCAGTAGTGGGACATGAGAAACCAGCAGTGCAGAGAGTGACTCCAAGTACATGTGGGAAAACTGTTTTGAACTGCTGGTTCAGAGCTGGAGAGGTGCTCTTGGAAATCCAGCAAAAGCAGGTGTGTACATGTGTTGGGAATCCTCAGGAAAAGCTGCTCCATCCTCGTGGCTCTTGCAAAACAGGCCCTGCTGACAGGGCTGTCTGGTGTTCATCAGGGAAAGCATTAAAGTGATTGTTGCTGCCTGGAGTGCCCTGGCTGGCTTAATATTTTGGGAAGGATTATTGTCTGGAGTTATTCCATGAGGGCTGTCTGTGACCTTGAAGACCCCAGCCCAAGCCTGGGCTCTGACAGCTCCCAGCCTTTGGGCCTTTGTTGCAGTCCCAGGCTCCTGTTCCTGGGTCAGGCTGGGGCTGCTTCCCCGATGGTGTGGGGAGGATGTTCTCCCTGCCATCCTCTCCCTGTCCCAACCCATTCCCTGGGGTCTCTGAGTAATTTCTCTTGATTGCAGGGGCACAAGTGGGTTTCTGCATTTGCTGTGCTGCTGCCTGGACTTCTAATTTCCAAAGCTATTTGTTTCTTCACAGGCTCGCTCTTTGAATTCTCTTTTCCAGCAGCAGATGAAATTCCAAGTGTTCTTTGATTTTATTTCGTAACTCACAGCCCCTTTGAGTTTGAGTTTGGTCCCATGGAGCAGAGGGTGACAGTGCAAGTGGTGCTGTGGTGGGACACTGGGGGACAGCACAGGGCCCACCATGGCCCTTGTGGTGCTACCAGCACTGCTGTGCCAGTTCCACAGGGATGGAAGTCCCCGACCCCTCTCCTGCCACGTGGGAGATGATGGGGGACAGTGGCAGAGCCTTCTGGGGTGGATGTTGGAGCAGGGGTTGGATGGAGAGGGGAACAGGGACCCCCACACTCCTGTTTGGGGACTTGGAGAATCCCATCGGGCATGTGTCTGGCTGGGCTTGTGCGAGAGCGTCGAGCAGTGCTGGAGCTGCTGCTCCCAGCTTGGCCGCGGGCCCGTGGCCCCGTTCGCCCCTCGCCTCCCTGCCAGTCCCCACCGCCCGCCGGCCGCGGACCCTTTAAGCCGCCGCCATCTTTACTTCGGGCAGGTGAAGCCGCCGCCCCTCATTGGCCCGTCCTTCCCCGGGCCGCTCGCGCGCGCTCCCCATTGGTCGCCGCCGCGGCCTTTCCGGCGGCAGCGCCGCGGCGCATCCTTTCCGGTCGCCGTTCGCGAGGCGGAAGGTGAGTGAGGGCCCGGGGCTTCATCCACCGCCATCCGCCCGCCCGGTGCCGCGGCGGAGCCCCCGGGGGTGCACAGGGGGCCGCGCTGGGTCGGGGGCCACGGGCCCGGGGTATCCCGGGGGCCAGGCGGGGCCCCGGCAGGACCGCACTAACCGTGCCCGCGTCCGCAGGCCGCAGCCATGGCGCCCAGCCGCAATGGGATGATCCTGAAGCCCCACTTCCACAAGGACTGGCAGCGCAGAGTGGCCACCTGGTTCAACCAGCCCGCCCGCAAGATCCGCAGGTGAGGCGGCGGGGGCCCGTGAGGGGGTTTCCGGAGTGTGCGGGGCTGCTGAGGAGGCCAAAGCGCCGCGGGTTTGTGTTCGGCCCTTCTCTGGCCGCGCTCGTTGAAGTCCCGGCTGCTCGCTCGGGGTCTGTGCTCAGAGCGGGCCCTTCCCAGCCGCAGCCAAGTGATGAGACATCTCCGGAATCGCTGCACCACGGTGATGACTCCTTCTACCCTGGGTCTCTGATGGCAGCGGCGGTTTCGGAGCAGCACCAGCCACCGGCGTGGCCCGGCTGTTGGTTCCGGAGGGATCCTAGGGCAGCAGTGGCACATCTGGCAGAGATGCCATGTTCCTGGTGACTGTCCCATCGATGTGGCCCAGAAGACCAGTTACACATGCCTTGTGTGCCAGTGTGGCCACAGGGCCAGGGCAGTGCCTGTCCCCTGCGCTGGGCACTGGTGAGGCAACACCTGGAATTCTGGGATCAGTTTTGGGCCCCTCACCCCAACACAGACACTGAATGGCTGGAGCAGCAGGACTGGCTGAGGGAGCTGGGGGGCTCAGCCTGGAGAAAAGGAGGCTCAGGGGGACCTTCTCGCTCTCTCCAACTCCCTGACAGGAGGGTGGAGCCAAGTGGGGGTCAGGCTCTGCTCCCGGAGAACAAGGGACAGGATGAGGGGAAAAGGCCTCGAGCTGTGCCAGGGGAGGTTCAGGTTGGAAGTCAGGACGAATTTCTTCATGGAAAGGATGGTAAGGCATTGGAAGGGTCTGCCCAGGGAGGTGGTGGAGTTCCCATCCCTGGAGGTGTCTAAGGAAGGCCTGGATGTGGCACTCAGTGCTCTGGGCTGGGTGACAAGGTGGGGATCAGTCACGGGTTGGACTCAGTGATCTTGAAAGTCTTTTCCAACCTGATCAATCCTGTGATCCCATGACATTCCAGGAGGAAGGCTCGCCAGGCCAAGGCTCGCCGCATCGCCCCCCGGCCCGTGGCTGGGCCCATCCGGCCCATCGTGCGATGCCCAACAATCAGATACCACAAAAAAGTTCGTGCTGGCAGAGGCTTCAGCCTGGAGGAGCTTAAAGTGAGTACAGAGCACTGATCTAAATAAATGAACTCCCAGTCTGAGCTTGGCTGCTGCTCCTGTCCTGCACAAGGTGACGTGCCCAGATGTGGTACCTGCTGGTGCTGGCTCGTCCTGGGGAGACTGTGGTGCTTCTGGTTCTGGGAGCAAGGAAACACCACTCAAAGGTGTTTAAAAGGTAAACGTCTGGTTGTCTGGTCAGACTCACTTAAACTCCATTAAAATCGAGCTGAAAGAAGAGAAGTTTAGGTTGGGTATACAGAAGAAATTCTTCCCTGTAAGGGGGGTGAGGTCCTGGCACTGGTTGGCCAGAGAAGCTGTGGCTGCCCCATCCCTGCAAGTGTCCAAGGCCAGGTTGGACGGGGCTTGGAGCAACCTGGTCTAGTGGAATGTGTCCCTGCCCATGGCAGGGAGGTGCATTCAGATGATCCTTAAGGTCCTTTCCAACACAAACCATGCTGGGATTCTATGAAAATTGAATTCTGGAAGAGTCTTGAGTCTCCTAAACTTTTTTAGGGAGGGAAAAGGTTATGGTCTTCATTAAATTGCTTTGTTTCTTTATGAAATAACTGTTCTGCTAATCCTGAGTATTTTGGCCAATGTGTTCTTGTTGCAGATCAGGTAAACTGAGCTCAGCTGACTTGTAAGAGTAGCAGGGGATGTTGTACCAGGAGGAAAGACTATTCAGTGCAGCCTGCAGGAGTAGCTGGGGCTGTTCTCGTTTAATATTTGAAACTCTCTGGGAAGTATTCCCTGTCCTCCATTCCTTCAGGAAATTGTCCCTGGGACCTGCCCAGGTGTGCTGAGCTGTTAAAGGGTGTCTGCAGGGACCCCCCACTGCATATCTGTGCAGTGGGCAGGAGTCACATCAGTCCTTGCTGGCAGCTACCAGCTGCCTCTGCGCCTGGTTCAGCGTCTAATTAAAACATTTATAACTGAAATTGGTGCACTGAGGCAGAAAAATTGTTCTTCTGGGTGCCAAATGCTTCATTACTTAGTTTTCTTTAATTTTGGGGTAATGGTGGAACACAAAGCGGGACACAGCTGTCTTCAAACAGAAAATGAGTTTCTTGTTTAAGATGGTTAAAACAAATAGTTATTTAATGGAGCTCACGGTACTCAGTGAGCCAGAGCTATCCATGTCCTGACTCCATAAATGCTTGTCTGTATGTATCTGAGTTTAAATGTCCCCCTCAGCGGTTGCTCTTTGCTCTCCTGAGAAAAATCCACCTGCAAAAACCGAAGTCTGGGGAACATTTTAAGCATTAAGATACACCAGGACACCCTTTGGTGGGGAAGTGGGTGGTCCTTTAGCCATGCCAAGCCTTCTCCAGACCCTGTGTCCCGTGCTGGCTCTGCTTGGAGCCCTGCCTGGCTGTTGGGAGCTGTGGCATGCTGACACCACTCCCTCTCTCCCCTCAGCTCGCTGGCATCAACAAGAAGTTTGCACGGACGATCGGGATCTCCGTGGATCCCCGGCGGCGGAACAAGTCCACCGAGTCCCTGCAGGCCAACGTGCAGAGGCTGAAGGAGTACCACTCCAAGCTCATCCTCTTCCCGAGGAAGCCAGCCATGCCCAAGAAGGGAGACAGCTCTGTGAGTACCTGGCTGCTGGAATCGTGTCACAGGGGCTGTTTGCGGCCTTGCTTTGGGAGGTTTAATGTCATCCCATCCCTCTATCCCGGTGTGCAGAGCTCCTGAACTTGTTTCATGACGTGACCCCAAGGGGAGCAGCCCTGCCCTTGGATGCAGCGTGGGTCTGAGCCCAGCGTAAGGCCTGGCCTGGCAGGGTTGAGTGTAACAGGGCTCTCTGGGTCACAGTAATACTGGGTCAG